CTACTAGGAACAAGAAGCTACTAGGTGCTCCTGGCATCGCTACTGGGGTCCACCAGAGTGAGTGATTTCTGTTTGGTGTTGGAGAGCATGGATTCCCTCCCCACTCCATGCGCTGAATTGGTTCCCGATCTGTACGGAGCTCGGCTCAGGACTCTGGCTTGCAAAGCTCGGAACGGGGCAGGGTCCTTTCCACCATCGCACCACTTCCATTGCTGAGGAAGGCCTCTGACGAGCTGGGCCGCTTTGCCTCCAAAGACAAATTGGCCGCCCATGCGGTGAAGGCGAGCGCGTGGGAGCGCGGTGGGATGGAGAAGTGGAAGCAGCCAGCAAAGGAGAAACTATCAGGTGGACTTATATAAAACATAATTCTCAATTCGTAAGTATCAGGGAAAGATTGCAATTGAGAAGATTTTCAGGATGCAGAAAAACCACCAGGAACGGGATTTCCTTGTGCGTTGCGGACGTTGATTAGTCAATGTCTCGAATGAGCAGCGCCCACCACTGCTTCAAATCTCGAGATCACCAATTTGGCTAGAACATGAGCATGCTAGTCTTTGGAGCAATCTGGAAGCGTTGTATTGAGTGAACTATATACTCAGTTCGTCCAAGTGTACTTTGAGGCAGCCAGAAAGGATTTATTAATCCTTGCCACAGGTGAACGTCTTTGAGACAATGAACTTCTTGCTCCAGTGCCCTGTGGAGCCACAGGCCCTTGATGTTTCAACATCCGGACGTGGATGCGACGGTCGGGCCCACAGGGTTTAGTGGAGGCTTTGTGACGGGCAACTAGTGCGTCTGCAGGCCATGTTATGTCTAATGAATATTTGTTAAACGTAACATGAGCCATAATACTGCCCATCTCTTTGAACGCTGGAAAGTCAGTACAGCTTGGGGTCACGTCCATCAGACACCGCCACCGCTCATAGGTACAGCGAGCCGCTTCGGGAGTTAATCAAAGGGGGCGAGGTCGACCTGCAAGGCGAGCCGCGCGCGATGGGGCGTTGGATGGGGCGCCGGTGGGTCTGGCAGTGGTAGGAAAAAGCCGAAGAATTCAGCCAGAGAAGAAGGTTTGCTTTTTGATGACGTTGACCATATGCCAAGGATATGCCAAGCGCAAATCCCTTCTGAATGATTCCTGTGGATGTCATTTTTTCCGCCTCGCGACACCTCGATCTGATACCAAGGTGGCGTCTACCACTTGGAGACTGGCCGTGTGGAGTTCTTGGGGCGCTCACCCAAACATGAGGCTGTGCGGCTTCGTCGGCCGTCGAGATTCGACCGAGATTCGGAGGTTGGGTTAACCAGCAGCATGTCGTTCAGCCAGAAATTACTTGAGAGTGCGCACAAGGCCTCTGTTTGTTCACAGGAAACGTGTATCATGTCAATGATGTCTATGATAGTGAAAGTATGTGAAAGTCATAGTCCATAGTTTTGTCTGCCTTGAAACATTACCCTCCTCGACTTTCTTATTGTAGGCGGAGTGTGAAGACGAAAACCTGTGTTGCTGTGTACAATCTTCTTCATGGATTCTGTGTGAAGCGAAAACTGTCGTTGGAGCGCTTTGGTCAATCACAGAGCTTGCGCTATTAGGTTGGAGGCCATCGCTAGTAGGTGGAGGCTATCGCTAGTAGGTGAAGGCCATTGCTATTAGAAGCAAAGAAGAAAAAAAGGAAGGAATGTCTAACTAATATACTTTGAGCGATTCGCCGATTGGCCTTAAGCCTTGGATGACGAACAAAGCCCTTCTCACAGATGATGGGCTGCTAGGAGTTGCTGGCTGCCAAGAGCAACCTGCCACCCTCTATGCAGCACCTTCGGCGGAAAGGATGAGGAATATCTGGAACAGCTTTGGATTTTGAACAGTCCAAGCTCTACAACAGCGGGGGTGGGGTCCCGGTCTGATAGTCTACCAGTTTTGGAGCTCATGCATACAAGTTCTGGTATCAGGTCCATGATTGTCCATGTATTGGGCATGTGCTCTTAAGTGCTCTTTGTCAAAGAGACAGGACTAGTAACTAGTACCCCGCAAGGACCCAGGCTCCCTATTCATCTCAAAATGTATCAGGTTTGGAAGGAGGGCTACAAAAGACCATGAAGAACCGCCCAAAGGAGCGATTCATAGCGAAAGGAGTGCGAAATAGCGTTCACTTAAACCTTCTCAGGGTTCCGTGCTGCTGCGTTCCGCCACAAGGCTCTTTTGATCGATTGTGGAATCCTTCTGTGATGAGGTCACCAAAGGTCAACAAATCCGCGTTTTCCTAAACATCTAGGAACCAAATCATTAGTGCAAGCGCTTCTTCAAGAAAATTCCCCACCGCCCTCACCGGGGGAGCTTCCTTGAAGAAGCGTGAACTATCCTGCGTCCTACCTAGCATACCTTAGATGGGGCTGAGTCCCAGTAACAGTTCAACAAGGTATTTTCATTAAGTGTGTTCATGAAAACGAGCACCAGCGAATTGCTGGAAATGGCTCTTGGTTTTGGGACATTTTGGTCAATGAATTGCTGGGGTTGACCCAGATTGAAAAGTTTAGATCTCACCATGATCAGAATCATACCTCACTTCACCCATCCCCTGCCCCATACCCAGTGCCCTTCTGTAAGGTGTGTATGTGTGTGGGCCTTGCAAATGATATGAGATGGTGAATGCTTGTCTTGCTTGTCCACCACTGTCAAAGGTCATGGTGGGGTGATTTGACGAATTCGAGCACCAGATTTGACGAATTCGAGCACCAGATTTGCCGAATTCGAGCACCAGATTAGACGAATTCTAGCACCAGATTTGGCGAAATCGAGCACCAGATTTGACGAATTCTAGCACCAGATTTGAC